GAAGTATTACTCTTTCAATATTATCTTACCTCTCTCGTCAATATTTTTATTTATTTTTTAATTATATAAATTAAATAAAATACCAATGATGGCAGCGAGATCCCCTTGTACGTCGCCCCTTATAGTCAAACTCTTTATTGTTGAAGTGGTCGTTAATTCCAACCAGTAGCATTATAAAGAAATTAATTAATATATGTTTCCATATGTCTAACAATTACATCATCGTGGGAGAAAAAAGAGTATCATAATACGAAATTATATTTGCATTTATCTTTTTATTTTTTAATCAGATAAATGAAATATTTTAAAATAAAAATATATTTAATAATTAGCATTCAATGTTAAATGAGAATTAGGTTTGATATATGATGCGTCGATCATATCATATATACAATTAGCATTTTATATTAAATGAGAATCAGGTTCAATTAATAGAGTACGTTTACAAGTAAAAAAAAAAAAAAAAAGATGACATTGAGTAAATAAACCAATGTATGATATCATACATCACCTATTTAAGTCTTATGAATCATTGTTGTCAAATCGCGTATCGTATTGTGTATCAAAATCCTAATTTTTTGAATCATATATCACGTATCGTATTGTAGAATACGTCTTTTTAAAAAAAATTAAAAAAAAAATTAAAATTTTCTAAAAATTAATATCATCCCCAAGATTAATTAAATAATTTTGTGGTATTATTGGCTTTAAATTATGGTATTACATAATCAAAATTAATTACAAAATTAAGAATTTATATTATTTTTTCTCAACCATTCATATCATTTCCAAGATCAATGTCAATATTTATATCTCCACTTATATTATTATTATCATGCAAAATGGGTAAATTTGGATAGGTTTTAGTGAATCGGGTTGGGTGACCTGGTTCCAACTCGAAAATTTTTTTGGGCCTTGGCCCAAATTAATAAACTCGTATCGATTTATATCGACATTTTTAAGGATACAAACGGATACGTATCGTATCGTAGGATACATATCAACGTATCGAAAGGTTTAAGATACACTCTCTGATACGTATCGTTGGTGACCTATATCAAATCGTATCATAGGATACTAACAACCATGTTATGAATCACTTCTTTGACTTATTCAAACACCAAAATAAACTCATTAGAAGTTTCACATCAAGAGTGATCGATTGTACTTACTCAAATCCATGGTTATCAAATCGTGTACCGTATCGTGTATCGAAAACCTAATATTTTGAATCGTGTATCGCGTATCGTATCGTAAGATACATCTTTTTCAAAAAAATTAATAAAATAATCAAAATTTTCTAAAAATTAATACAATCCCCAAGATTAATTAAAGAATTTTGTGGTATTATTGACTTTAAATTACGGTATTACATAATCAAAATTAATCACAAAATTCCAAGATCAATGTCAATATCTATATCTCCACTTATATTATTATTATCATGTAAAATAGGCAATACATATTCCTCTTCATTTTCTCCATGTAAAATAGGTAAATTTGGATAGGTTTTAGTGAATCGGGTTGGGTGACCCGGTTTCGACCCGATTTTTTTTTTGGACATTTGGCCCAAATTAATAAAGTCGTATTGATTTATATCGATATTTTTAAGGATACGAACGGATACGTATCGTATCGTAGGATACATATCAACGTATCGAATGGTTTAGGATACACTCTCTGATAGGTATCGTTGGCGACCTATATCGAATCGTATCGTATGATACGTATCGGATATCGTAGGATACTAACAACCATGCTCCAATCTAATTTAAGTCAAAATATTTGTTGAAGTGTAAAATAGAAAATATGATTATTCTCATTGTCAAATAGGAAATAAGATTATTCTCATTAAAGACTATCTTCTATATTAGGTTAGGATCAAAACTATCAAGAATTAGATCAGTTATAATAGGAATGTAACAATTTATTTCCTAGATTTGTTTTTTATTTTTTACTATAAATTCATTGTATATTTCATTGTGAAATATATAATAAAAACAAAGTATTTCTTCACGATATTAATCCAAATTTGGTGGGCAATAATGCCTGAAATAAGAAATTGGATAAAGATTGAGCAAACAATTAAGTGAATTGAAACTGAAATTGTTAACAGAAACATTAGCTTTGGCCTATAAATTAGGGTTCCCTAATTGGATTACAACCTAATAGCTTTGATTTATCAAAGCCTATTGCAAAGATGAGAAGATTGTTCATATTTGTTGCTTTCACCATTGGAGTGGTGTTGCTTGTTTCTCTTCCTAAGGGTTAGTTTATTAATAATTCCCCTCTTACGTCTCTTTCTTTTTTCTTTTTATATTTTGGTAAACCTCGACGATACGATGAATTTTATTTAAAATGGAGATTTTTTTTTTTTTTTTGATTTTACACTAATTTTTTAGATCATATGCGAAAATTGTTTCAGAAACATTTCTTGAATCCATTGTTTTCTAAAATTAAAAAAAAAAATTATTTAAATAATTAACATTAACACACATCGAGATAATCCTTTTAGTCTAATTTGAGCGGTTATAGAGTAAAATGTTAAATGATTTATCGAAATTTTTTAACTGATAAAATTACAATAATTGCAGGAAAATGTTATTTAATGACTTGAGAATCATGCTTTTTTTTTTTTTAAGGATTATATTTAATTAATTTTGATCTTTAATAATTAATTTTTTTTTTTTAACTTGTTTTTTCAGGCAGTGGTTCATATAATTTATATAATGATCCTTCTAAGCATGATTCTTCTAAACCCAGATCCATCATACTTCGCAAACTTGTGAATTCTGGTAATTATTAATTATTATGCAAATAAAATTATATTTATTTTTTAAAAATTCTTATTCATTTAATATATATATATATATTTTTTTTTTTTTTTCTTCAAATTAATGAGCTTTGTTTGATGTGTTCTTTCTTTCTCTTCTACATCTATTGATTTATTTCCTGAAGTTATTCACTCGAGCATCGATGATCTGAAAGTCCATCTAGGGCAAGTGTTCGGATCTATTATGACACAGTAAATTGTAAAATGATTTTTCAAAATTGATTTACTAATAAATTAAATTTCTAATAGCAAGAACGTGAATGAATGACTTGAGGGTCATATTTTGTTTTAGATTATATTTGATGAATTTATCTTAATTTGTTATTAATTATATTTTTTTTCCCTTTTTGTTGTAATTATTATTTTTTTTTTCTAAATTATTACAGGTCCAGGAAATGGCCAAATGTCACCGAAATTATACACCGAAGCTAATAAGGAAAACACTTCTCATCCAAAATACGTTTTACATCGCAAAACTTCTGGTACTAATTAATGTAATTAAAGTTGATAATGAATTAACTACATTATATGTAATCCCCTTCTTATATTAGAGTCGGTGAACTTATCTAGCTTAAAAATATTTATATAAAGAGTTTATATAAAGTTATAAGCACTTTTTTTTTTTTTTTAACGATTGTACTTAAAAAATAAGAAATAATCTATTATTTAGCTTATTTGAAGTGTTAAAATTTCAAAAATATCTCCATCCCATTTATAATTTTTTTTTTTTTTTATCATTTTATGTATATTAAACTAGAAACCCGAAACCCTAAACTCTAAACCTTACGATCCTTGCAGAAACATATGCAATTATCAGATGTTCGAGAGATGTCATCACGATCGTACAAGGAGAATTACCAAGGCAACCTAGTGGGATACCAACTTACACAGTGGAAATAACCAACACATGTCCCTCAAATTGTGTTGTTTCTCATGTTCATCTCAATTGTGGAGGATTCACATCTACAAACCTCATTAACCCTAAAATTTTTAGGCGTATTCCCAACTCTGATCTATGTCTAATCAACAACGGCAAATTGCTTCAATCCGGCAAACTTCTTACGTTTCGTTACTCCACCACTTTTAAGTTCTCATTTTCAGTTGCCTCAGTTCGGTGTAGATAATTATATGGTTGAATATGAAATATTATATATATATGCAATAGAATAAGGGAAGTGATTTTTAACTCCCATCAAATTGATCTATATCCCTTATTTTTAATTTTTTTTTTTGACAATTTTGACCTTAATAAAAATGACATAATAATTTCTAAATACACTCGTACTCTATTTTATATTTATATTTTTACTTTAATTCTTAATCATAATCCCTAACTCTGAATTCTCTAAATCATTGAAACATCTTTATTTTATTTTTCTTTGTTTGATTAAAACATGATCCACTACTAATTTCTATTATAGTCTACTCACTTGTATTTTATAATGACAAAATTATCCCTTTTGGGTTATTCTATGATATATATTGAGCCATTAACACAAAAATATTAATAATATTATTGTTTTTTTTTTGTTTTGTTTTTTTGTTAATAAGATAAAAATCAGTTAGATCTTGAGCTTATAAAGGTTGACAGTTGGCAATCATGGGCCTATGACAAATAATATTAAAGTAGGCCGATGTTCTCATACGCTATATGGGCTTCCCAAACCGAGAAAGCCCATATTCTCATCGGCTATAGGAGCTCTCCAAAAGGACCAATGATAATATCGAACATTAAATGGGCGTCATATGATTGGATGGGGGGGAATGTTATGAACCCACCTTGCATAGAAACATTAGATTTCAAGCTATAAGAGTCAATATATGGAGCACATCACTTGATAGACTAGTTCCCCTCATGACATTTAACATCCTAACAAATTTTTTTTTTTTTTGGGTATCCGAGGATGTCCAGGTTAGCTTATGCGTACCTCAATAGTTCTCTGAATCCCTGAAGTTAACGATCAGGTAAGTTTTCAATGGCTACCCCTTATTAGTAGTCGTGGAGATTCGAATTCAGGATCTTTTGAATAATACACCTAAGAGTCTCAAGTGAACTACCAAACTATCCAAATGTCGTTATCTTAACGAAAATTCGCAAACAAATGAACCCAATAATTTTGTATTGCCAAATGTTTAATCAAACAATTGTATTATTGCTTATGCTCTATATATCCATCTTAAATCTTTCTACGCAATGTAAAAATATAACCAAAAATTTATAAAAACCAAAAAAAAAAAGTGTCAAAGCTACACTTATCCTCTCAACTTGCCAAGCTCAACATCTTTAACCTGAGATTCAATACCAGAACTTTGCTTTAACAATTGCATATTCTCTTCAGAAACAATGTTTTTGACATGGGAAATGGCCTTGGAATCAATAACTTTCTTCTTCTCAACCTCCACTGCCCAACTATACACCACCATGCCAACAACAGCCACACTCATTCCCAGTATATTTTTCAGTGTGAGCTCTGAATCAAAGAGTAGCCACCCCAGCATCAGGACACAGACAGTTTTCATGTGGCCTAAAACCTGGAAAGACACCGCTGAGAAGCGGCCGATGCAGAGGTACTGGCTTACATTGCAGAAGACTGCTAGGGAGCATGAGAGCAGGATGAAGAACTGCAGATTTTTGAGGCCAAAAGTTAGCAGCAGTCAAGTGATCACAAATGGGCTCAAAGAGGCTCAAGTTATTACTTACAAGTGCACCATAAGATAAGTTGTAGTTGAATAAAAATTTGTCATTGAGACTGTAGTCTATGAAAGGGCCAGCCAGAACCAGGGAGATTGCTTGTATTGGAGCTGTCTTGCTGAGCAGTTCAAAAGAGCCTATTGAGTACTTCTTCTGTAGTGAACCAATTGACTGTTCATGGAAAGTAAATTGACAAACAGAAGTTAGAGATTGCATAATCATAATGAAATCTGAACTTCTTTGGACTAATATTGGTGACTCACAGTTCCAAACCGGAGTTTCCTCCGAATCCTACAATCTTTGAGAAGTAGGAAACAACGGCCTTTACTTTCTTACAATTTTTGAAAAATAGGAAACAATAATCTTTAGTCATGTAAGTGACTCGTTTTACAAACCCAAGTTCAAAATTCGTACCCTAGCTGAAACCATACAATCTTGGGAAAGTAGGAAACAATGGTTTGATAATGTGGCTCCCATTAGGGGATTCAAGCCCCAAATCCTATGAGAACAAACTATAGATCTAACCATTCGGCTAATCTCTCGTAGATAGGTAAACTAAAACTTATTGTAAACTCAGAAATGGGTTATAGAATATGCAAATAGTTATTCACTATGCAGTGTTATCTTATAATATTTTGATATTCTCCGAGTTATAGGATGAAGGCAGAAAAGGAATACGCAGAGTACTTACAATCTGCTGTAAGGATGTGGACAAGACAGCCACACAGGCACAGATGAATCCCTTGGCATTAACCTTAACATCAGTCACTGTGCACACACCAACACCAACAACCACCACCACCACAGCCATCTTCACTTCTTTTGAATAATGTTTGCTGTGAAGAATCCACTCCATCACACAAACCACAGGAATCATGCTCAGCTTCGAAATCTACATCACAGTCATAATTCTGATGATCAAGATCGATTTTAAGACCATTGTCGACATCGAAAAAGTTTTAAGTCAGACAAACACATCATGTAAACATACTATCTGCTCAAGATCTTTTTATGTATGTAATCAGATAACAAAAATCTTAAGTGAAATAATGTATCATATTATTTGTATGTTTGTCTAATAAAATCATATCACATATATATTAATTTATTCATACATCTACTTAAAAGATCATTTTTTTCGTGTGGGATTTGATACGAATAGAGGATAAGGCTCATTATTAGCTAGTAAAAGTACCTGATAAAATCCAACAGAGTTGAGCATGAGGCTGAAGTTCATCCCAGTGATTGACATGTTAGCAACAATTGAGAACCAAAGAAGCTCCCAAAAGGGAACATGCTTTGATGCAGAATAACCAGCAGCATTTGACACCAAACCCACCAATGCAGTCACAGTGAAATGGAACCCAGTTAAAGTTGTGGCTGCAGAACAGAACAGAAACCACTTTTTTTAGTTCTACATTCATTTTCAATTCAGGATTTTCGATAAAGGCTCTGACTACAACACACAACCGTTTCATGTTATGTTTTACAAGTTTTATGTTACTGTATCTATACAACTAAACAATAATAAAATTAAGTGGTATCTATGAGGCTAGATTCCATAATTGCCCAGAATGTCTTATTCTTTTAACTTTTTCTAACCTGCCCAGAATGTCTTATTTTTTAACCTTTTGTTTTATTTGGTAATTGGGCTAAATGTTAATTATGTAACAAGAAACTAGCAAACAATAAATAAAGACAAGAATCCTTTGAAATTTCCAAGAAAGCATGAAACAGAACTATATCCATATCAAGCTTCTGCAATGAGAAGCTCTAACATGCATTCTAATGACATTAAATTTCCGGAATAACATAATTCTTAACATGTATCCTTAAAACATGCGTTAACAAGACAGAATGTAACATATCGCACAAAAAAAGAGAATGAAATTAGACTAACCAAATCCAAAACCAAAGCCACTAGGAGACATGAGCTGTTTGTTGGTCATGATAAGTCCCACAGAGCTGACAATGTTCATCCCCCAAGCCCCAACATCCGATACCGACGACTTTTTACTATTCTCCACCTCCATTTTCGTTATCTTTCGTTGCGAAAACTCAATTTTCCTGTAGTGAAAGAAGAAGAAAAATAAAGAAGGATGGTGTCAACTGTCAAGAGCTAGTGATTAGAGCCAGAACCTTAATTTATACACACATTACAAAGAAAATTGTCCAAGCAAGCCAGCGGCCAGCCTGCAAACAAACAAGGAACAGATTATTATTGGTAGCAACAACCCTGACAATAACAGAAGAGATTAAACAAATGAAGAAATGAAAAATAAATTATTTGTTTGATTGTCCCTTAATGAGGAGATTAATATTAAAAAAAGGGTTATCATATTCTTTTCTTGCTGGCTTTGTGAGCAATGTGCATGTTACCCATATGCCATTGCCATTTGCCATGCAAATCATTATCATTATGGAGGTTGTTTGATTTGAAGGTCTGATCACCATTAATCACCTTTTCTGAGCCTTCAATTAAGTTATTTGTTTACTCTTTCACTCTTCCTTGTTCACTTTTTTCTCCTGTTGACTTGCTTAAAAACTTCTTGAGCACTTCATGGTGAACTTTCCCACCTCTGATTTTGACCTAAATTTTTTAATCTTATTGGTTAGCTAGCTAGCTCTTGCCCCATTTGCCTAATCTTCTTTTTTTTCCTTTTTCTCCTTTTTCTCCTTTGATTACACTCAAATTCAATAAAAATAATCTGATAAATCCGAAAACCCATCTTGGCAAGTGAAGTCAATAAGCTGATTGCTAAATCTTTACAAACTGGAAAGAACACAGATCAAGAAAAGATCTTAATATATAAACTTGCTAGTTTCTGTTAAACTCCCTTATATATATTCATGGGTTTTCCAATTCCTTAACATAATTTCCCTATAATTAGTACAAGTAGGTAAAGAACTAAGGATTAAAATAGACATTTGCTGCGAAAATTTGTTAATTTTTAAATTATTTATTATTATTATTATTGTGGTGAACCATTGACCACAGAGAAAACAACAATTTCTTTGGTGAATAGTCAAGTAGATGGTTCTTAGTATTAAAAATATTCAATAGATTACATGGAAAAACTAGCGGGGAGATTAATTTGTCTGCAGGGAGATTCATGTACCAAAAAAGTTATTCATCCGTGGGTAACTCAAATGATTAAAACGAATTAGGAATAATATGAATAGGTACATGGTCTTACATTCGAGAGCATCCGTAATTTAAGTAAGAGTCCGTAATAGTAAGTTGCTACACTAATCTCTCTTGATTATTATTCAAAGTACACATAAACTGACCGGATACCTTGGTTTAAAAAACCAAAAAATTGCCTTTTTATTTTTTTATTTTTATCATATTAGTTATAGATGCAAAAGTGTAATATTCATTCAACATTATAGAACTGACAGTAATCATTGGATCTACTCAATGATCACAGAGTCAACCCCCATGGAGATAATCTTCTTTATAATTTTAAACTTTTTCCTATTCTTAAATTCAAACAATTTTTACTCAGAAAAGTTTGGTACATAACATAAATTTATTTATCAGAAAACAATATAAATAAATATTATACCACAAGAACCATATGAGCAGACATTCACATTATGTGGGAGTGGGACCGTATTCCCAACATAATAGGGCTGGCCACCCACCTTCCAAATGTAATATTAGGAGTTTAGGACCCACCTGCAAATTTTTAAACCATGGAGATCTACAGAATAGTTAACCACTTCTGTTACTTACATTTTAACCCTTTTTGTAGATATCATATAAATAAATTATTTCCAAACAATAAACATAAGGTGATTTTTTCAAGAAAATGAAACAATACTAGGTAACATCAAGCATAAAGTGTTCACAGCTGTAATTACTACAACTAAGACACATTCAATCCCCCCACAAATAAATCAATCACTCCATGAAAAAAAGGGATTGTTTGTGCTGGAACTATAAAATCGGTTTGACATATGTAGCAGTCAGACTGCTGCTGCAACAAACTGAGTAGACAAAAGCACAAGGTTTGTTTGTCATCACAGTCTTCTGCTTACTGAAGTAAAAATTCATCTAACACACTGAAATATGCCTATAGCGTTTTGCCAAAATCCAACATACACGAGCATGCGTGCCAGGGTGAGACTGGGTCCAGTCGGTTACAGGAAAGCATCCTTCTCCAACAGCTTTAGTACCTCGTGCTGGTTGTTGAGCTTGGCGACATCAATGGGAGTCTTGCCATCCATGTTTTGAAGGGTTCTGCAGTAAGTACAAAGAAAGATTAATAATAAATAATCCGTAAACAGGTAACCAATGGGGTAAATAGATAGGAAGTTGCTGGCTTACACAGCAGCGCCGTTCTCCAGCAGAAGGGCTACACATTCCTTCCTGCCATAACCAGCTGCATAGTGAAGTGCAGTATTCTTATTTTTGTCCAAAGCATCTACATTTGCTCCAGCCTCAAGAAGGATCTGAGCACACTTCACCTGTAAAACAGTTCAAGGACATCTACTTATCTTCGTATCATAAAGAAATCTGCTAAATTTTCAAATTGAAACTAAACTAATATCAAACTGTGGCAAATGGCATGTGATTGTACAAGAAAGCAGACTTTAGGCTTTCACCGATATAAGCCAGAGAAACTACTCTGAAATTTCAAGGTCAATATTTCTCCGGTTGCAACTAAGTTATTAAAATGAAGATATTGCAGAGAAAATTTTAAGGCTATTAAATCATACATATTACTATAGCACCGACCATCCTTGACAGATGAAATTCTTCTAGAAAGCAGTTCTAAGACTTACTCAAGAGTAAATAAGAAAAGCAAATCTGTAAGCTAATATATATTTCGACTCCCTTCACTCCAAAACTCTAGCAAAAGAGAACAAAGACAGAAATACAGAGAAAAGAAAGGTTCAGATTATTGTACCTCACCGTATCCACAGGCAAAATGCAATGCTGTCCTTCCTTCGGAATCTTCTTCGTCCTTGTCAGCACCAGAGGCTAGTGCAGCTTTCAAACCCTAATTGAGAAACAGAAGAAGACATTCAATCCTAGCCTATCTGCTAAATTTAAACATGCGAAATAGATGCAGTCAAACTTGAACAGATGCAACAGAAAGACAAAACACAAGATATAAAATTTCTATTAATTAAAATAGGGACATCAACAAATCAACTTCTATTTTGGTCATTGAGTAGGCAGCACACTATAACACTAGTACGTTATGAAGGTTGCGGGCCCAAAGGTAACTTCTGGAGAAAAAAGAGGAAGATGTTAAGAATGCCACATGTTTTCAGGTTTCTGAATCCTTTATTGTAATGAGATAACCTGATTAACTTTTTAACTATATGCTAAACAACTCCACATCTTGGAAATTTAACCATGGGTTGAGATAAAATAATTTAGAAGAATGCAATATATAAAAATGAACTCGATAAACACATTTTTGTCCTCTTTGAATTTTCATACTCTCGGAATAATGAAAATTCTTTGCATTTCTTAGAAGTACAAGAATGCATCTTGTAGGCCACTTTCTAATAATAATAATAATAATAATAATTTCACAGATATTACATCGACATCTGAGCACAAGTACAAATATTATGATATAAATAGTATATTTATTAATTCGCCTTAGTGTTGAGAATGAGGACTTCCGTGCATTTGACATGATTCCAGAATGTTGGCAAGTCACTTCTATAGTTAATTGGAAATGAACAAAATAACAATTCAGAAATACTCGATTAGAACATAAACAGGTCATATATGCTTGGAACAGAAAACACTTCATCAAAGAAAACCAGACGAAAATAAAGGTAGTGACATACCTCAACATCACCAACACTAGCAGTATGATGAACAATAGACTCATCCTCATTTCCCACTTCTTCTGCTTCGTCTTGCCCGGCATTGTCAGCAGAAGTAGCCGGATCTCCAGCAACTGCAAGACCCATTGCTTCCCCCAACTTCTGCAGTACATCTTTATCATTCCAGTACCTAGACAGGCATAAGTCTCCTATACTTGGTTAGATGTATCAGAACAACTGAATGTACAAACTTATCCCAAACCTTTAAGTAAAAAATAGAAGAACAAGCAGCTTATAATTTACATAAATTAACATCTTAATTACTCACTTCATCATGGCAGCTGGTCCACCACTCTCTATCTCTTCTAAAATAGGCTTCAAAGATGGATCATCCTTTATTCGTGCCATTCGTTCCTCAAGCTGGTCTTTTTGTGATGGGTTTGATAAACTCTCCAACATAGTAGACATGGATGGGTCCTGAAAAAATCAAACATAGTTATATCAACAAGATGTAAATTTAATTTATATATGTTCCATATGATTGATATGATGGTAATATTAACAAGAAGAATAAAGATAGGCTAAAATGGGGCAAAACACCAAATATACCTGCATCAATGCATTACCAAGGCGCTCAGCCATAGTCATGAATTGTGGATTCTGCATAACCTGTTGCATGGTGGAGTAATACTGCTGTGTATCAAACTGTGGGATACCCTCATCAGGCGCTGCACCTTGAAAAGTTTTCTGAAGTTGCTCTGCCATCTGATTGAATGCAGGGTCTTTTGATATCTGTTCAGCTAGTTCCTTAATGCTAGGGTCCTAAATGTAACATAGCATTGACATATATTGTAAGTCACAAAACAAGAGAAGCTGAATTTAAATAACAAACATGACTATTAAAGACAATTGAAAAGTAATATGTTTATTTCAAAGATCATGCTATAATATTCACCCAATAATATTGTTGAGAAATGGATTTACAAGTGTAATTTTATTAATCATCATAATAAAACCAAATCAAACTCAGCACAAAATTGCCAGAAACATACATTAAGGAGACCACTCATGGCAGAGAAATCAAAAGGATTGGGCGGCAATCCAGGTCCAGGCGCAGAAGGTGCAGCTCCTCTTCCTTGTGATTCTCTGATTGAACCAGAAGATGTTTCTGATGTTGGTGTTGAACCTCCTGCCTTCTCATCTACAATTGGAAATATAACATTATCATTAAATGCCAGATACTTATTTATATTTCCTTCAAGTAGCCAAAAAAATCCATCTTGTAGTTCGGAAACAAGAACTACTCTCAGACCAACAACCCAACAACCTTCTAATAATCAACAATCCAAATTCCCAAGTATTCACTATTCAGTCAATCCAAAAAGAAACAAACAACAAAACATTTCTTATTAATGCCCAGAAATCCCTCTACCGAAATTCTGTGCTTTTGGGAATCAAAACTACTCTCAAACCCAACAGCCTTCTACTAATCAAGAATCCAAACTATCATGTAACTACTGAATCAATCCAAAAGAGAGAGAATACAATCAACAAAAATTTTCTCATTAACACTCAAAAATCTCTTGACCTAAATTGTGAATTTTTGGAAACCAAGAACTACTGTCAAACCCAACCATCTCCTACTAATCAAGATATTAGATTCTAATGTATCCACTATTCAATCAATAAAAAAACAAAACAAAGACAAAATACCCACAAATCTTAAACTTCAATTAAGCATTTTTATATTAAAGAACTACAATTAAACACAATATCCTTCCAATCAATCAATCAATCAAACAAACAAAAACAAAAAGAAAGAAAAACCCTAAACAAGAAAAGACCCAAGAATAATCCAGAATTAAAAAAAAACAAAAAAACCCAATTGAAGTAACAAGAATTACTACCAGCAGGAGCGTCCTTGGTGGGATTAGAAGCCATGAGATTGAGTAGAACAAGAGCTGAAATTAAACCCACAAAAATCTCTCAAATTATTAACAGGATTTCATTTCAATCAAAAAAATAAATCAAGGGATAGAGTAAAGAGAACTCGTTGATCCGATGAGTGAACTTACCCGAGAGAGATTGAGATGGGAAAAACCTAAAGTTTTAATTTTCTAATTATTTAATTATTTATTTTTTCAGTAATTGAGCACCACCGAAATTGTATTTATATATAAAGCTCATACATACACAAAACAAAATACTTGCAACTCTGTGGGCCATCTCAATCTTCTTTCTTCTATCTATTACTTTTGTCCTTCATTCGTTCATTTTACCCCCTTCAGCTTTTTATTTTTACTTTTTTACGCCCCTCGGCCTGGGCCGTCTGGTCCGGCCCATCTAGCCCATTCACTCCGAAAACTTCTTTCGTCATGGGTTTTAATAATTTCTTTTTCCTACTCAAGGTTTGAGAAAAATAACAAACACATCCAAAGGTTTCCGATAGTGACAATTACACCCAAATTTTTTGATTATTTTACCATTGGAAAGACACATTACTCTATGTCTGATTACATATTCTTTTTCATTTTTTATTTCTTTTATTTTTATAAAAATCTGAAACTTCATAACACAGAGACAAATTTGAAGAGCTCTGCAAGGATCTTTGGGAGAAGTCTCTTATACCTCTAAGGGGGCGTTTGGTTGGGGGTTATGTGAGATTACTAGGGTTAAGTCATCTTATATTACTTGATTACCATGTTTGGTTTGTCAAATAATATAAGATTCCAATAATCTTCAAATACCAATAGTGGCTACTATTGGTAATATTGGAAGTAATCTGATTACCTCAATTTTCTTAGGTATTGTAAGATTACTTGAGTAATCTTTTTATTTTTATTTTTTTATAATTCTATCCCTTACTAATAAAATTTTAGGACAATAATGCCCTTATTTTTAAATTTATTTACATGAATCTTGCTTTTACCATTTCACCCAAATTAATTAACTTTTTGGACAAAATTACCCTTGAAATCAAAACAAATTCAGCTAACCCAAGTCACCACCCCCACCCACCTACTGCTAGGCAAACCATCGCCGGCCGCCACGAGAAGTCACCGAAAGTCACCTAGAGTCGTCGTGAGTAGCCCACCGTGATCGGGAGGCCCCAATATGGTCGTTTCTAGCCATATTGATGGTCGAAAAGGCCATATCGCTGGCCATTTTTGGCCAAATTGATGGGTCAAAATAGATGTGGCCGTTAACGGCCAGGTCCATGGCCATCAACAGCTAGATCTGGCCTATAATGGCCAAGGATCTGGTCGTTAACGGCCAGATCTAGCCTGATATGGCCGTTTTCAGCCATCAATATGACCAGAAACGGCCATATCGGAGCCTCGTGGTTATGGTGAGCTACTCACGTCGACTTTCGGAGACTTCCGACGTTGGTTTGTGGTGGTGGCAAGGGGTGGGGGTGATTTTGTCATAAATTAAAGTTTTATATAAGCGGGGGTGTTTTAGCTAAATCTGAAATATTGGAGGTTAAAAGAATTATTCAAAAATTAATAATAAAAATAATATTATATTAATATTTAAAAAGAGGGCAATTTAGTAATTTAAATAACATACTCATCAATTTATTCCCCCTAACCAAACATATTAATATAACATACCCACCAACTAACCAAACACATTTTCCTAAAGATTCTCCGTAATCTTCAAGGTAATATAAGATTCTCTAATCCAACATTCCCTGAATCAAACGCACCCTAAAGGAAGTGTTTATTGCTTAAGCATTCTGGCTTAAAAGTTGATGAGACATATGCTGTAGAGATGTCTCATTACATGTGCTGTTTAGTCTTTGTAGTTTTTTTTTGTGACTCATACATCTACACAAGTTCTTATTCTAGAAATTGTTTTAAAAACCCGATCCATTGTGAGACCCGATAAAGTGACCAAGTTATGGGTCGACCAGTTCAATCAATTGGATTGGTGACGTCAACAACAAATTTATTTAAAAAAAAATAAAAGTAGTCCCTTAAATCTTAGTATATTACAAAAACCCCTCAAAAAATTTCAAATTAGTCCCTAAATTTTTTATTTATTGCAAAAAATTCCCAAAATTACCATTTAATCCCTAAATTTTTGATATATATTAAAAACACCCCTAAAAATTACAAATGAGTTCGTATAAATTTGAAATATAGCAAAAATCCCCCTAAAACTTGAACCGGATCGGAGAGGCTGTTGGGTTTGGGTTTAAAATAGTGATTCTAGACATACCTTTTTATTTTGAATGTGAAGCCTGATGGCAAGTTCATTTTATATTCACTATATTTCAGTTTACAAGTTAAGACTGTTAAAAAAGCAATGACCTTACAGCTAAATTTGACAAGTTTATGTATTTCTCATCAATTTGTCAATGCAGATGCCCATAAACTCATATGAAAAGCCAAGAAAATTTTGGAAGATATCATAATCAACTTCTTCAAAACCACCAACATTGCTGTTGTTGATGCGTGATTTTGACACCAACAACACGCACATGCAAAGTGCTAAGCTGTTCTTAGAAATTACACATGATATAATTGATTCAAGAGTCAGGATAAGGTTACACAATGATGTTGAATGCAAAGATAGAATAATAAATGAGAGAGATGATTTTTAAAGTGGTTCGGATGCTTAAAGCAATTCCTATGTCCACTGTTTCCTTTATATATGAGTGTTTACAAGAGGTTGCGTATAGCCAATAGTGAGTAGAGGTACAATAACTGATTATTCAGAGAGAATATCAAGTCAGTCTCTTTCTCGTAGGTTATCTTTGCTATGAAAATAGAGATTACAATTAGAATCAGAATCAGAATGAGAGGGGGAGTCCTCTATTTATAGTAACTAAATTCAAGGTAATGATTACAAATTTGCAAGTGGGTAGATATCGTGTAGGTCCTTCATTGTCTCCCATTGGCTAATAACTTAGGAAATATTCTCAAATTATTTGGGGCTTGGACATGTGTGTGGTCCTTATTCACTTATAGACAAAACCTGAATCTGTTGGGTTGATGACAACCGTATTTTTCTGTCTTGGGGTGACGTGGTAGCTCATGGACGGCGCAAAGCCTTCTTGAACTCTGATTAGTGCTTGTTGATGTAAGCTTACGCTAGCTCTGATTTTTTAAGCACAACAGAAGCTCCCCAATTCTTAAGGTTTAAGAATTGAATCTTGAAAACTTCATGATTATACTGTGACTTGACTTGCCTCCAAGAATGTCTGTTCAAGCCAACAGTTGAAAATAGCCACATTGTTACAAACGACATGAGGCTGACGGCTTGATTCGACCATCGAACTGAGTGTGGATCGTGACAAGGATTTCAAGAGTTACACAAGTGACCTAACGTGATCATTCACAAAAGGTCTAACGACGTGAGCCAGATCTTGTCCAGTGCTATAAAAATGTTTCGAACTCTATCTGTCATTCACGACCTGAAAACACTTAGAACATTTTGCTATTGAAAGTTGAGAATCATCTCCTTCGATGTTTGAGTCTGACACGTGGAAGAAATGTCTTATTCGAACAACCTATTCAGATGTTATCAGCTGCGCTTGATAGCTGGCTTGTCAATAAAATGAGCTTTATTTGATAGACGTGTCTCTGTACAATAAGTGTCAGCCAATTGCATTAAATCCAAGTCATGACATTCCTTTTTGAAGCATTAAATGCGGATGGGGGCGCATGTAATGTGGAGGAGATAATCACACCAGCGCTTGACAATTTCAATAAATAAAAACACCGATTGATATTCACGAAGCATGACAGTCGCTCTTCGCGCGGATTGGTGACACATGGTCACAATCAACGGCTGGAAGCACGTTCCCACCCAAATGTTGCTTATAAAAGAGACCAAGCGTTGTCTTCCACCTTATAAAACCCTAAACCTATTCCAAGTTTTTTAGAGAACTTGAATCTTTAAAGAGAAAACAACGCTTTCAGACTCAAAAAATCAGTTCATCCTCTTCTCGATTAATGCGCACTCAACGCTACGACAGAGGATCCATTCCCAGCAACTGAGAGGTAAAGAAATTTTTTCCCTTTTTTCTCTTTTTCATTTCTATCAAAAACTTAGTTTTTCCAGTAATGGTGGTCAAGGTGTTCGGTAGACTTAGATGATGAACACCCCTGGGTAGTGTTTGAAGAAAAAAAAAAAAAAAAAACACTTTTAAGAGTTAAAACTTAGGGTATAGATCCTTAGAAAATCATTCTTAAGAGTTTTTAAGAGCTTTGGCAGCTATAGAAGAGAAACCAGGGTTCTTTTACTTTTCTGAGTCGTCGTATAAGGTAGATTATTCAGAGTTTGAGTCACTCTTACATGTCACACCTTTATAGACTTAAAGGGCAATAGACATCCCTAAGATGAGAACAACTGGAGAGGGAAGCTTGCAACCATCAAGCACCTTGGCAGGTCCCAGAAAGGTGATACGATCTACCTTCACAAAGGAAGAGATTCAGAAAGCAATAGACCAATATACGATCGACGTGGACGTGCATCGGTATAGTCGTACATTGCTCAAGATCCTCCTGAGGAATGGCCGCGATCTCGGAAGCAATCTTCAAATGTAGAGTGAGGATACCCCTCCACCCCTACATCAGGTTGATCCTCGACCACTTCTAGGTCGCGCCATTCCAGTTGACGACAAACACATATATGATAATGGTCGCTATGTATATTGCATTCGACAAGCACAACCTCGGCGAGCCAACATCAAAGGAGTTTGGCTACGCCTATTATTTAAAGAAGAGAAAAGACAAAGACTCTTACTACCTCTTTAAGTGATCAACGATCAAGGATCAAGGGAGGGATATTTGGTTACCCCAGCAACGTGAGGGCTTACGAAACCAAATATTTTTTCTTCAAGTATGATAGAGTCTGTAAATTTAAGGAACTGAGTATGTTTTCCTTTTAATTTCCAGATCGCTCGTCTACTAACTTTAACTTTTCTTTAACATATTAAGCTAACGAACTTTTTGCTTCCTTGTAGGAAATAAAATGACCAGGTTGTCGGTGCTAGTTGCTCGTAGTCGTATCGAAGCGTTTGATCAACTGCCCAACTAAAGTCGCGATGCAAAGCTCCTCGTGACTACCGCCAATCTTTAGAGATAAGGGTTTTTCAATGCCGATGCATACTTGGACGGTTCAGCTTGTAAGTATTTCTTATATAAAAAAACTCAAGTCTTTTTAACAAAAATACTCTTTTTGTTGACGTGTTC